TCAAGGCCCCTGATTTCTCATCACGACTACGGCCCCTGACCGGGGCATGAAGCAAGTGTGCTTTTGGTTTTCCGATTTAATATAGGGGCCTTAATAATTAGAATAGGGCTTTGGGGGTTCCTTATTATAGTTATAGTAAAATGGGCCCCCAAAACCCTATTCTAACTATTAAGGCCCCTACATTAACATCCTCAGCAATTCTTGTTTGGGAGCTGTTGTTCAATCGCAGAACCTGGGCGGGCCCTGGACACATTTCTTCACTGTCGCATCACGACCTCACTGGGCGTGGTGCGATTCAATGTGTACAACGGGGCTTCGCAGCCGAGACCTTCGCTAGCCATCGCCTAGATCGGCTGCGGCTACAAACCTTCCGCCTCCAAGAGCATGTCCCTGGGCCTCGAGCGCTTTGGTGCCTCAAAGCCTGACGAAAGTCACCTGTTTGCTTGAAGCCTTGGTTGGAAAGTCGTAATTTCGCGTTTTGGGTTCAGTGCCTTAGCCAGCAAAGTGGGTGAATAGAGGAAAGTAGACATTGTTGATCAAGAGGAGCAGTTTTCCCACACTCACACGCGTCTTGCAAGACCAGCTCGGGCTCAAAAGCGTCGCCGAGACGAAGTAGACTCGCTGGGCTCACCGCCATGGGATCCTCCGGAAGTGCAAGCTCGTCTCGAAGGAGCTCAGGGTCAGGCTCTCATTATGGGCACACGTATGTGGAAACGGATGGGCGTTTTGGGACCAAAGTTGAGCACCACAAAGACGGTCGTGGCAACTACTCGACGCAGTCAGCCAACAAGCCCAACGACGGGAAGGTCCGGGAGAAGATGGGCGACCGCACGATTCGCGAGAAAGAGGGTTCATGGACTTCTCGAGGAAATGTTGCGAGGTCTTACACTAGGGACAGTGGATCGTACAACGTGGTCACCGACAATTGTCAGCATGCGTCAAACAGGGCTTCTCGGCTCCACTCGTGCATTGTTTATTATTATTACTGTCGAAAAGTATGTAGTGTGCCAAGTCAAAGAAACAATCGAGTTGGAGCTTTTCAAAGCTGAAGACCTGAGGCCTACGCAGGCGCCTGAGTCGTCAACATGGAGTTGGTTGGAGAAACCGATGCGATCGATTTTGTTTGTTTCGCCTTTTGCCCAGTGAGGCTAAGGTAAACGCAGGAGGTGGGCTGCGATTCTGCAGCTGGCTCTTGCGAATTTAGTTGCCAATAGCGCAAACTTATGTCCGCTTTAAAGCTTGCGAAAACACGGCGGGCTCGAAAATACCAAGACGAGATGTTGGGTAACGGATCTCCCGAGCACGGCAGGTCAGGCAGTGCCGGAGTGCGCCATGCTTCAGGGTTCTGTTGGGGGGTTGCAGGCGGGTTCAGGTCAGGCAGTGAGTGTGCAGC